TCTGTTCCCTGTGTCCTTCAATGAACGGGAGAGAAATATAGTGCCAATGAGGCTATTAAAGATAGGAGAAAAACATACCACATTCAAAAATTGTTCCACACTAAAATTGTATTTCACTCCTTGTGTCCTATAACTAAACTAGCTAAAAACTGAAAAATTGCTCCGGTCCCCAGAAGCGAAAACATTTTCTGAAGCTGTGTCACTAAGGGGTTAACAAATTATACGTTTAGATGAATACATTCCAGACATGTCTTAATATATTAAGATTTTCAAAGAAAAAGTTGTCCTTTTTTACATAGAAGTCTTTGGGCTCTAATTAAGCGACTGTCTCTAGGCACCAGTCTGCTGCACAGTCTCTCTTCCCCAAGTGATCAGACTACAAGGTTTGTAGCTGCACTAGAGGCTGATCTGTCTCAGATATTTGTGAACACAGGCACCTGGATTTACATTATGTCATCTATAAACCAGCATCTTAGTCTAGGAAGCAGGTTATGACCCTGGATGATTCCTAAACAAAGATGGCTGTGTCCTTCCAGAGGAAAAAAAAAAAAAAGTCAGATAAGGGTTGTGACGACACGGTGATAAGTTTATAAGTTAAATGTGTATTGGTGTTGAGTTATGTTTGAGTGCGTTATGCTGTGTGACCTGGTTATGGAAAGACTATCGGCACCATCCCTCGTTATCTCCCATTGTTCTCTGAAGGAGCTCCGAACAATGACATTCTGGCCAGGCTCCTGCTATGGCTGTCTGGAGTTCGTTAGCAGGTGGACACCTGTGGTGTTGAGCAGACCGATTGTCTGGGAGGGGAGGGTGGATGTGATGGGATTATATTCTGATTTCATCACTTGCTGTATAAAAGTTTGTGCAGTTGCTCAATAAAGCAGAGTTTGTTTACCCTACACTCAAGCCTTGGCTAGTGACTGGGGAAACTGGGAGCTACAGATCAGCGGGTTCCAATATCTCCTCAGCAAGGAAGAAGACAGCGGCGGACATACTCATCCTGAGTACGGGGGTCCGTCACAAGGGTATTGAAGTAATAAATACCTGTTAAGTGTTACATGTACACATTATTTAGTATAGATGCAATAATATGTGTAAAATATATTGGGGGAATTTATCAAAACTGGTGCAGATTGAATCTGAAGCAGTTGCTCATGGCAACCAATCGGCTTATCTCTTCAGTTTGCTCAGTTAAGCTTTGTAAATTAAAGATAGAACGTGGGTGGGTTTTTACTGGAATAATTTCTTTGGGAGGGGAGGTCATGAGTTTGTGAATAAATATGGATTTTTTGGGCCTGAAATCTCACTCACTGTTCAGTGATTCTTGAATGAGGGTAAAACATGAAAGTTTGTTTAACCCTCATTCAGGGTCCATTCACACCACAACATGTAGGATTCAGTCTATTTTTCAGTTAGTTTCAGTAACGCCTGTGCAAAAATAATGAAAAACATTGAATAAGCTTTTCCTGACAAGTCCACCTAGATGTACATATACTCCCAGAATTCTGAAACAACTGCATTTTATTGCTCTGGATCAGCTGATAGTGACAATGTTGGTGACTGCGTAATTTGTATCAGCACAGGAAATGCCTGAGCAATGACCCCCACAGCAGGATTACCAGGTATTGGTATAAGAAAAACTCTGGCTTGGTCTGTGTCTAAGACCCAAATATTCCAAGCAATAAGTTGGTTCCATCACTGATTTCTAAAGGTTCAGGATCCATTGAACCTCTGAATAGTCAAGAGTATATTGTGTGCCAAGGCCCAGGCCAACTTTCCTCTGAGCAGGAAGTAGTCTAGATATTCCGCAATGGGAATGCCCTAAGAGCGCAATAAGGCTACTACTGGGACCAGTACATTGGTGCACACCGGAGGTGCATTAGATTGGCTGAGCAAGGCACACAAACTGGAAATGCAAAAGGAACCACAGCAAAGCCTAGGAATCGCTAATGCACTGGAAAAATGAGGACAAGCATGTACACATCCTCGATTCCACACAGGCCTTGAGATTCTTGAGAGGGTGCAAGATCCCCTTTACCTTGTGAACAGTTGAGTAGAACCCAATCCCCCTGCAATAGGCAGTATAACTCGATAGTATAGGACTTCCCGTGTGCCTCAATGGAAAGAAATTATCTTTCATTTCCAAGTTCGTAAAAGTATATTGTTCCCGTCTGCTCACAAAGCAGGGTGTATGACTCACAGACGTGTGTGTAATTTTACAAACTTTGAGGCAGAAAGTTACAAAAAAAATCGTGTGTGTGATGTGATATATATATATATATTTATTATGTATTTTATTAGGGATGCACCGATACCATTTTTTCAGTATCGAGTACCTATATTTTGCTTTCGGTACTCGCCGATACC